GTCTGTTCAGTTGTCATATGTCTTTTGGATGAGTCTGTTCAGTTGTCATATGTCTTTTGGATGAGTCTGTTCAGTTGTCATATGTCTTTTGGATGAGTCTGTTCAGTTGTCATATGTCTTTTGGATGACTTTGTTTAGTTGTCACGTGTCTATTGGATGAGTCTGTTCAGTTGTCGTATGTCTTTTGGATGAGTCTGTTTACTTATCACGTGTCTATTGGATGAGTCTGTTCAGTTGTCGTATGTCTTTTGAATGAGTCTGTTCAGTTGTCGTATGCCTATTGGATGAGTCTGTTCAGTTGTCACGTGTCTATTGGATGAGTCTGTTCAGTTGCTATGTGTCTTTTGGATGAGTCTGTTCAGTTGTCGTATGTCTTTTGGATGAGTCTGTTCAGTTGTCGTATGCCTATTGGATGAGTCTGTTCAGTTGTCAGGTGTCTATTGGATGAGTCTGTTCAGTTGTCATATGTCTTCTGGATGAGTCTTTTCAGTTGTCACGTGTCTATTGGATGAGTCGGTTCAGTTGTCGTATGTCTTTGGATGAGTATGTTCAGTTGTCACGTGTCTATTGGATGAGTCTGTTCAGTTGCTATGTGTCTTTTGGATGAGTCTGTTCAGTTGTCGTATGTCTATTGGATGAGTCTGTTCAGTATTCAGGTGTCTATTGGATGAGTCTGTTCAGTTGTCATATGTCTTTTGGATGAGTCTGTTCAGTTGTCATATATCTTTTGGATGAGTCTGTTTAGTTGTCAGGTGTCTATTGGATGAGTCTGTTCAGTTGTCATATGTCTTTTGGATGAGTCTGTTCAGTTGTCATATGTCTTTTGGATGAGTCTATTCAGTTGTCGTATGTCTTTTGGATGAGTCTGTTCAGTTGTCATATGTCTTTTGGATGAGTCTGTTCAGTTGTCATATGTCTTTTGGATGCGTCTGTTCAGTTGTCATATGTCTTTTGGATGAGTCTGTTCAGTTGTCATATGTCTTTTGGATGAGTCTGTTCAGTTGTCATATGTATTTTGGATGAGTCTGTTCAGTTGTCATACGTCTTATGGATGAGTCTGTTCAGTTGTCATATGTCTTTTGGATGAGTCTGTTCAGTTGTCACGTGTCTATTGGATGAGTCTGTTCAGTTGTCGTATGTCTTTTGGATGCGTCTGTTCAGTTGTCACGTGTCTATTGGATGAGTCTGTTCAGTTGTCGTATGTCTTTTGGATGAGTCTGTTTAGATGTCGTATGTCTTTTGGATGAGTCTGATGAGAGAGAGAAAGAGATTGCGAAAGAGAGAGAGAGAGAGAGAGAGAGAGAGAGAGAGAGGGGGGGAGCGAGAAAGAAAGGAAAAAAATAGCAGAAGGAAGAGAGAGATAAAGAAATAGAGAGAGAGAGAGAGAGAGAGAGAGAGAGAGGAGAGAGAGAGAGAGAGAGAGAGAGAGGAGAGAGAGAGATAGAGAGAGAGAGGAGAGAGAGGGAGAGAAAAGGAGAAAAGATATCTAACACAATGAAATATCAAGTGACATCTGAGAGTCCCCTATGGTGAGATCGAGCCTCCCAGTTTCACAGCTCTGCCCCCCCCCCTTGCCCCCCAGACGTCCCTCTGCTGACCAGGCCAGTTTGGACACATCAATTAAGTCTGAGATTAATGAAGGACATCTAAATGAGATGTGGACAAAAGACATTCAGCTAGGCGTAACTCCATCCTTAGTTCAACTTTCGCTTGTCTCCCCTTGCTGGTTATATAAAAATGGTGTTGTCATTAGACGTGTCTCCTCCAAATCTGATAGAGTTTCATTCTTTTGTGTCATTCTTTGGTGTCTTTCTTTTGTGTCATTCTTTGATGTCATTCTTTGGGGTCATTCTTTGGTGTCATTCGTTAGTGTCATTTTTTGGTGTCACACTTTGGTGTCATTCGTTGGTGTCATTCTTTGGTGTCATTCTTTGGTGTAATACTTTGGTGTCACACTTTGGTGTCATTCTTTGGTGTCATACTTTGGTGTCACACTTTATGTCATACTTTGGTGTCATTCTTTGGTGTCATACTTTGGTGTCTCACTTTGGTGTCATACGTTGGTGTCATTCGTTGGTGTCATTCTTTGGTGTCATACTTTGGTGTCACATTTTGGTGTCATTCGTTGATGTAATTCTTTGGTGTCATTCGTTGGTGTCATGCGTTGGTGTCATACTTTGGTGTCATTCTTCGGTGTCCTTTGTTGTCATATTTTGGTGTCATATAACTTAATATAAAAACTACAGAACTTCCCTGAGGTATACAATAATATATCCCCCCCCCCAAACCTCCTCACTATACCTCTGTCCAGACCGCCCCTCCCCCTCACCATATTTCTACCCTCCCCACAAAAGGCCCAACATGCCGGTATTTATCATAACAAAAACGAGTACACTACATTGGAGAGAATCGTGTGTCACAGCTCGGCCCGCTACGATCAGCCCCACCGCAGCCAACCCACTGCGGCCAACCCACTGCGGTCAACCCATCAAACCCACGGTGACAGATTCATGTTGTATCGGTTTTTGTTGCCGGGTGTTTACTGCATGTACGCGTGTACGCCCTTTGTCCACGGGCTCGAAGTGGCGCCCCCCCCTACAAATCATAAACCTTGGTGTGGTCAACATGGATTTGTTCCCCTGGTGACAGGTGGCGCTGGACCGTGGTCATTCATTACAGGAAACTGTAGCACAACTTAACGTTTTAGCCACAACGATAGGCGCCTTTGATGTGATCGGGACAAATCTTGGGGCGAGCCGTGCACCATTCATTGTAGATCTCATGCTTGTGTTTGGTGGATGTTCTGTGTCCAGTATCCATTAGATCGCATGCGTGTGTTTGGTGGATGTTCTGTGTCCAGTATCCATTAGATCTCATGCTTGTGTTTGGTGGATGTTCTGTGTCCAGTATCCATTAGATCTCATGCTTGTGTTTGGTGGATGTTCTGTGTCCAGTATCCATTAGATCTCATGGTTGTGTTTGGTGGATGTTCTGTGTCCAGTATCCATTAGATCTCATGTTTGTAGTGATGGGTAGTCTGTGTTCACTATCCGACTGCCTTAGCCCTTCTCTTCCCTCCTGGCAAGTACTGTTGTGTGCATTACGGAGTACAACAACGTCAAAATACATTTCTCATTGAAAATATTATTTTCAGTCCTTTATTTTTCCGTTTCCAACATTTTATTGTTCCATTTGTCGCACTTTCTTTTCTTCAAATGTCATCATCTTTAAATGTCATCATCTTTCAAAGGTCATTATCCATTTCCACCTTTTCAAACTTCACTTGTCATTATTTTACTGACATGATACTGACATGATGTCAGTGGCAAACTTAAATTAAAATTGATCTCATTCTCACGCGCCGTATCCGATTTATTTTGCACATTAAAGTAAAACTTACAGAATAATTTGTACGCTACATTTCAACATTTCAACATTTCAACATTTCAACATTCAACGTTTATGGGTATTCAAACGAGGTTTGAGAGTAAAAACGCTTTTTAAAAAAAAAATTGTTTTAAATAAACGCTTTCTTAAATTTATTTCCACGAATGAACACGTCGCAACCATTATAACAAGGCTTCTTTATAACTTCCAGAAATCAGTTCAACGACACCCAGCACTCCACTACCCAAGCACGGGCTCTTCATCTAGTATTTATCTACCAATTATTTATTTGCCCAAATCTTGCTTATCCACTAAAATAACGCACCGAACATAAAAGCATTTTTTTTTTTGGGAGAGCGGCATCAGAGAATGTCATGTTAACATGAAAAATATACTGTCAACAGTGCAGTTAACAATAACTTGTTTTGTTTTTTTTCTCTTGATAAGTTGGAAAGAGAATTTTTAAATATTTTTTTTAAAGAATTTAAAAAGAATAGTTGTCATTGAGCTTGTCCCAAGATTTGTATGTGATATGTTGAAACTATCATTTTAAAACATATTATTTCTTAGTCACTGTATACGGGGGCTTTCTAGAGTGTATGTCCACGTCAGAAGGTTGATCAAATCTATTCAAAAGTTGTTGTCTTTTTAAGTAAACCTCAAAATATTTAAAATCTAGTTTTCAAATGTTTCTATTTTCTTCTCTGTCAGCACTAATGACTTTTTTTTTTTTAAACCACAATTACCGGCCCTTCTCGTGTGACCAATGTCACGTGGCCAATATACTATTAGATGCAGTGAGCTTCCGTCTGAAGGGCGCGCATGCGCCTGTAAAGTGCACGCTACTGCTTTAGCTTCGATTACAGTTGCCTTTTCTTTTCTTCGAGCGCTTCATTAAAGCAAGAAGCCAAAAATTACCTTTGAATAAGCCAAAAAGCAAATAGAGATGTCCGGCCTTCGTACTGGCCGGCCCCGTCACCCGCCTGAACTGACCGGACGACATGCTAATTATATGCTGACCACTGGCGCTCAGGACATGTCCAGCTCCTAGGTCACGAGCCATTTGAACCCCGGGGTCCAGACCCGCACTGGGGA